GATTCAGACCTCTGCTTATGGAAAGAAGAATCTTCCTTGACACGTTCATTAGAGAAGACCAGGCAATGTTAACTGAAAGCACAGTCAGAGAAAGAAATTTGAAATGTAAAGTTTATTTTAAAAAACAAAAAATGTTCTGGTCAGCCTATATTCACCAAAATCAAAGCCTAATCTGTAACTAAGGTAAAAAGATAGAAACAGCATTTTCTGTGATGTTCAGTGGGAATTTGTACATGATTTGCAAGATCTCTGTAGACATACTGTATTTTGTAGGAAACAACAGGGAGGGCATAAGTTTTAACCTTTGATTCCTCTCCTCACAAGCATATTTTTCACATATTACAACTCATGCAAATCTCAACTTAGTGGCTGTTTTGGAACCTTCTTTTTCAAAACAAAGAAACAAAGAAAAATAGTATGTCCTTCAGACAGCTAAGGAATAAAGTTTTTCTCTTTCTTAGGTGTTCCGCCTTGAGGAGGGTTTGGTCTTGATCTGCAGGTATGCTGAGATGAATAATTTGATTCACAGCTAGGAAGAACTGGAGATTTTTTTTATTTCACATAAAAACTGCTCTGAAATGCTGCATTAATTGTATTGTTCTTTTCAGCATAGATGCTTCATTGACATTTTAGGATTGGTTAATATTTCTAAACTTGTTGGAAAAAAATAACAACCTTGCTGACAATTAGAAAATTGCCATTCCATAATGGAAATACCTGAGCTCTTACTTAAGACCTGTTATTTCCCTTAGTATGAAGGCTATAAACACACCCTAATAAGAAGCCCTTTTGAACAGTAATCAGAAACAACTGCTATCTTTACAAGCACTTTATTTCTACTCCAAAATACCTGTATGCTGTCCTGAGTGACAATAACCTCTACTGACTTTCACTATGTAGACAAGTAAAGTCTCAGCTACATCAGCAGCTGAAGATGCGTCCAGTTACAGCTTCAACTTTACCATGCAAAATATAGGTTAAATATGCAAACTAGCATGTGATTTAATCCAGTAAAACATTGAATAGCCTGTCATAGAAAGTACACTGGCAAATGGGCAACCAGTTGAACATGTTATATTTTAATTTGCAGAGACAAAAATGACAAGCAATTTATTTACATAAAACTGTACAAAATCAAATTAAATTATGTAAATATTCATAAATAGAGGTGGACTAGCATTTAATACATTTTGCCATGTTTAGCATAGTTGCGTGCATAGTGACTCATAATAAACAATGATAAATTGTTCTCTGCTTCACTATCAACATCCAAGTTGCAGAACAATAGTCAATGATTAATATTACAAACAGATTGTACCACACTGAATGCAAGTGCTTTAAAATTTAGGAAAAAGTTGTCTGAAAGCATACCCCAGGTAGCTGGTGAGTGTTGTCTTCTTCCTTGTGTATAAGATCTTCAGTCAATAACACAACTTAACTGATGGACTTCCATTTCTATTGCTATATCATCTGCTTCATTCCTTAAGAAAACACTGTATGTTTATCACCAATGAAACAGAAGGAAAAATATTTTGTTGTTTAAGTTCTTTTCAAATCCTCAGTGATGGCTGGATTTATGGCAAGGTCTTTATCTGTATTCTTTGTTTTCCTGCTTGACAGCTTCCTAGGGTAGCCTTTCAGCCAATCATTTCAATCCCATGTAAGTTCTCTTGTCTCACATAAAAATAATGTTTAATTTTTTTTTTTCCTGAAACTCAGACAGCAGGCCAGTCAGAAACCATATTGAATAAACATAGTGGATCCGAGATCCAGAATGAGCATTAGATTTTTAGATCAAAGCTATTGAATTACGTATAAAGTTATATATTAATGCATCAATCTATAAAGGAGCCCTAATGTAAAATACATGCAAAGCTCATTTGAGTTTCCCATGAAGGAAAAGAAAGGGTGATTTCTATACTGTACACCTGAAATATGATAATGGCTAAAAGCAAACAAAAATAAATTAATTGTCAATTTTCCTGGCAACATGAACTGGTGACACCTTGCTAAGTAACTATAATATAGACTGATCATAGTTTTTCAGGCAGCAGAATTAAAAACAAATTAAAACAACCCTAAACCCCACACAAATAGTAATAAAAAAATCCTCGAGACCGACTTAAACCAAAGCCTTGTGTTAATAATGCTTAAGACTGGTCCATTAACTGAGTTTGGCAAAAGGCTTGTTTTTAAATATATTATTTATAATTTCTCAGAAAATAAACACAGGTAAATATACAGGTTCAAAAAAGTTGGGAATATAGCCCCTTTTCCCTTAGTGTCCAAACCCAACTACTACTACTTTACCATAATAACAGGTATAAAAGGCACAGTTGCATATTTTGCATTCACTCTAATTATTTTTTATCATTTTATTTGTTTATTTTTATACAAAAGCACTCTATTTATGGAGTGGCACCAGATTTAACCTATTTCAAATAAAGAGGAAAAATACAAACACAAATATATTTGTGTGTCATGCCAGGTCAGAAGAGTAATCAGCATATTAATAGTGGCTAGTTCCGTGAGAATTACTGTGAATCCTTACAATAGGTAGAATTTTTAAAAATTCTTTCACACCCATTTTAGATCTAAGGAGATGCACACAAGTAAAGTATTTAATGACTGTCTTATATGGTGCAAAAATTGGTGAGTGATTGCTGATCCATTTCATCTGAAGGTCTTCTATGACCTGTATTATTAGCCTTGTAGAAAAAGGGTTTAAGAATATATGTAAACAAGCTACTTAATTTATTTTTGTGTGTAACATTGAAGAAAATCTTATTAAAGGAAATTCTGTTTAACATTTGTGTAATGTAATTGTGTATTCTGTTGAAACGTGCAGGAAAAATGTGTATACATTACATAAGCATTTTTAGAAGCATTTTTAAACAGGTACTTACAGATTATACAAAGCAGTAACTGCTGTATGCAGTTTCATAACAAAGTACTAGTTTGCATCTCTCCATACTACTTAAATAATTCAACATAAAAATGTTCCATCATTATTAATCTTTGATTTTAATATTTTCTTTCTAAAATGTGCCCATTCATCAAAACTGCTATACACAAACTAATGTTACTTGAAGAAAGTAAGCTCGAGAGAGGAGAATGAAATGGCCAGTAATGGCACATCCCACTGTATGGAGAAGCTAATTTAGAAGATAAATGTGATGAGTTGTACTGATTTTCCAACCTCTACTTTAGTCTGTTTACAGTTATTTCTATGCAATTCTACAAGAAACTACCCAAAGCTATGTTGTGACTAAGCTATACTGGAGAGTCATCTAGCCATGCCTTAATGCCAGGTTAAACAACTAGGGATTTGAATCTTTTTCCCCTCCTCTGGCTGTCCTTGCTGCGTTGTTTGATTGTCACTTTCATCTGAATGTCTGAACTCAGTCTGTTGCTATTACTACAGTATCAGCTACAAACCAATTGTCTGAAGTTCTGCACATTTTGTTGCTTGTATTGCACAAAAATCTGATTCATTTTCTCTTCCTTTCAAGATGTGCTCACCATGAGAATCGTTACAGACCAGAGCTCTTACACATCCAGTAGCTTGGACTCCTTCTGACTCATCTTGATCTACTAGGTATCATACCACTGTTGATCAGACCATTTTCTACCTAGTCGAAATCTCCCAAGTCTCGGCATCATTTAGTATTGCACTTGGTTTTAATGCATCTGTGTTTCAAGGAAACCTGCATTATATCTTTAACGTAATTAAAGCAATTGGTAATCTGCAACACTGATGACAAAAGACTTGGGTATCATTCTCTGCACTCTGGAAAGAAGGTTTTGTGTTTGACTTGTGGTATTCTCTTGTCACTGCATCATCCCGTTGTCCACCCTTTCCATCCCACCACACATTTGCTTTAACACGGCCTTTTATTACTACTATTAGTTTTTAATTTTGATCTTAAAAATTCCCTGGAACTGGCATATGCAGCATATCATGTGCAGCATCTGCTGCAACATATCATGCCATTACAAAACAAAACCAACCCACATCAGTTCCTCTGTGTATTCAACTGAACCACATTGGAAAATAATTGTGTCATCTGTGCTGTCATGCAAAATGTAACTGAAGGTGTGTTATGAGTACATGTGTGTATTTGTGAATATATTAGTTTTCTAAGCCAAGCCCCAGTACTTAGCAGTTCCCCTGATCCACTATGTGATCTTTGGCCTTTTTGTTGTTACTATCTTCCCAGCTAGATGTTAGTCTTGCCAAAAATAATGATTTTTAACAGTTTATCATTACTATCCTATGGTATATGTGTTACTAATTGTGTTTACGTTGAAGTAATTGTTACAGAGAACAAGAGAGAAAGAGACACAGCAAGAAGACATTTGTTCTATGAATAAAACAGAACCAGAGTTCATGAATCATAGGAAAGTGTGCCGTGTTTTCAACTGCAGTCTCAGGCTGAATGTATTTCTGTTGCTTCCAGCCCCAGATGAGAGGTGAGAATTAAAGCTGTGGTCTTCACAAAGTGCCTATTAATGATTATTCCTTTATATTTATCTCTATATCTGTATGGTTTCTGAAGGATTGTCCATAGTGGGGATCAGCAATATTCAGTTGATATGGTTTGAATACATTTTCCCTGACATGTTATCCTCAACAAGCCAGATGAGAATCAAACAAAACGAGTGGCTTAACTCATGCTTCTGCAGAGGGTATGTTATGTTCTTTTTAATCAAGCTCGTTACTATGGGAGACATTTACAACCATAGGTTTAGGAAAATAAAAATCAGTGAGGGGGAATTAGACATGCAAGTAACAATGTTTTCTACATTGTACAGTAGAGTCAGGCAAACAGTATAATTAAATGCCTGCTATGGAGGCAGAAGTGGCAGGCAGATCTTTTGTCTCTTTGGTGGCCCCCTCTTTTTTGTTTTTTATTTTTTTGTTAAAATTGTTTTGTTTTTAAGACTTTTGCCCTTTTTCTTTCTTATAATAAGAAAGAACTTTCTTGCTGCTCTTTAGCCTACAGGTAAACTTCTCTTCTAGTTAGAGTATTGACAGGAGATGGCTTGTATTCCCCTGTCTGTGTAAGGGGAATATCCTCTGGATTGCCTTCTTCATTTTTGCTGAAACTAGCTGCACTGAAGGTCTCATAGGATGAGGTCAACTTTTTGTTAAGGAGGTTTCTGTTGCGATCACCCATGAGGGAGGCTTCTCCATTGGCCAGCTTTTCCTGACTGCCCCGTTCATCAACAGGCATGAAAGTGGAGAGTTTTGGCTGGCTCTTCTGCTTTCTTTCAGGAGAAGTGCGAACCGGCATCCAGCAGGAGTCCGAGTGGCCGTATTCATCACACTCTCTGGTACACTTCCCTGTCAGGGCTACATCTGGTAGAGGTCTTGAATCTGAAAGTAAAACAGAGTTGTCTTTACAAATAAATAATATTGCAATTACTTCCAATGAAACTGAGAATCCTTAAATTCACAAAAGGTATTTTTAAAGGTCTTGGTAAAATGCTCTGAAAATTCTTTAATGATATTTTTTTACTTTGCATGTGCCCATAGGCAACAGACATACCTGTACAGTCATCCTCAACCTCAAGAATTGAAAAATAAGACTATTAAGCCACTTTGTGTGCTCACAAATCAATCTCAAAAGCATTTAACATTAGGTACTGAATGAATTTTGAGAGTCAAACAAGAACTTAATTCCATACTGCAAATTTTCTTGAAATTATTAAAGATACCGTTTTTGGATTTTTTTTTGTAGTGAATGCTTTGAATTTATGTGAAAGTAACTTGAAGCCCAGTGCCCTGCAAATCCTTGTGAAAATACTTACTGCCCTGCAAGTGACCCTGCAGCTCTGTTATTGACAATGAGACTCAATTTGCACATCATGTAATCCTCTGCCTGTATTTCTTAGGATGGGGCATTCATTGTTAGTACACAATAGTACACATGACATGAGTCATGATTAGTGGGAGCATAGAAAAAAGCTGCTTTAGATTATAAATGTAATCTAACATGTACAGGTAAAGTTGTTCTGCATGTTGTTTGTGCATGTGGAGGGATAGTGAGAATCTGAGTGCTGCCTGAATAGATGCACTAATGTTTTGTATCTTTCAGATCACTGTGCCTGAACTTTCTATCTGCTGTACTTGTAAGAGCTTTCACTGAAAACTAGCAAAGGTCAAGGGACTGCAGGATTGACTCCTACCTGATAAAAACACAAGTAGTGTTTAAGATTGGTATTTTGACACTTGCATTATAAATGAAATAAAAAGCTACCTTAACTGTTTTAAGTACTGGGCAAGATTTTGAAACCTTGTTTTATTGAGTTATACTGTACTTTATGGTCTACAAGAAATAGTTGGAGGTGCCTACAAAGTAACAACATGACATTCAAACAACTAAAGTTGACAAAGTACAAAAATCATAAGTAAATTCTTTTTTCCAGTTTATTTGGTGTGACTTTTGTATGATATGACTTATTTGATGAAACTTCTAGGTTTCTTTTATTAAAAAGTTATTATCTTGAAAAGGAGCAAGGGGCTTCAACACAGAAACAGAGTCAGGTACTTCATATGGGCTGTAGCAACTTCCTACCTTCCCCAGATTCATGTGAATGGTAATTTTGCTAGTAGAAACCTATGCATTTTAAAATATATTTCAGAGGCCTATTCAGCCCTAATTTTGTTACTTCTGTTTTGCCTCCTTTTTCTTTGATTTTGGCTGTCAGAAGATCTTCTCAAACAGTAACAATTCCAACTGTGATTTTTTTATAAATTCATAAGAAAGAACACTGCTGAGGTTTAAAAACCAAATATCCTTGCCTCTTCCAGAAAAAACTGATTTAATTTAACATATTTACAACAGGTGCTTGCAGTGCAAGCATATTTCATTTTAGTATCTGCAGATTTAATCCTGACAGAATTGCAAAAGCTTTTCAAAGTCAGATTTATGTTCATCCTGTCCTGTTTTTTTATGCATTTAAGCATTCATTTAATTAGTAACTTCTTGTAGTATTGTAAAGAACATGCATATTATTTATTATTAACTGTTGTCAACATATTTATAGAATCTACTGTATGTATTCTAAATATTGCATATTTCGTGTTTCAATATATCACTTATTTTAATGAGGAAAACAGCACTGATACTTTAATAACTGAATAACTCTGTATCTGAGATATATAAGGCAGGGAGGAGAGAACTGAGGGTTTTGTTTGTTTTCCCAGTTGTACTATTTAAGGCTTTTGCACTTAGTCTTAGCTGTGATTCCCACATTTTTTCAATGAAGAATGCAAAGATTATGGACAGTTACCAGCCTATCAATTTTCAGATGTATGTTCTAGAGATGTAGAAAGAAGATGGAGACTGTAACAGGAAAATTCTCTATTTGTCAGCTAAATGTAGTATTATTTTGATACTCTGTAAAGGTAGGAAGTGTAATTAACTGCTGGGGTGCACCTGATGTGCTTTGCTTTTTAAACACAAAAAATTCCTCTTCACAAGAAGGAAAATCCCCTTTTCCATCTAAATCTCAATAAACTCTTCAAACAGCACATTATTTTCAAACAATGACCATCGAATATTATGCTTGCTGCTAGTATTCCAATTATTAGCCTCACAGAATATTAGCAAATGCTTATCAAGAAATGTATCTGACCTTTATTTAAAATATAGTATGTTTATTGAAAAGAGGGTTTTGGTATCCAGTGTGATATATTTTCCTCTAATACAACATTCAATTATTACTTGGCACATACAGTTAATGTAGTCTTCTACTCCATTGCTTTCTTGCATATGTTCTAAGAGCTTGAACCAGCACAGCATTTAAGCACACATTTAATCTAACATGTTTTCAAATCTGTTGTATTTAACAGCTTTTCTATTTAAAAGATAAAGGTAATTTCAGCATTTGGTGGAGGGGGAGATGTTGCAGGAAAAGAGGGAGTGTTTTGGGTGTGTGTTATATCAGAAAACAGGTAAAACACTCAGTGCTGTCATGACTAAACTATTACCAGCATGTAAATTAGTGAGTTAAGGACTTGGGTACTTTCTATACATTGCACTAGGTAAGAGATTTAACCGTAATTTAAAATAAAAGGCCACACCACTTTAGGTACAAAATAATTTAATGTATTTTTGCTAATTCCCGGAACAGAGTGACCCTCCATTGCTGAGTAGTGACTTCATGCTTCTCTGTTTACATTATCTAACCTATGGAATTTTGAACAAACTCTTAGCTTAAAAAAAAAAAAGTTACTCTTGTCCTCTAGCATAATTTACAGCCACACACATCTATCTCTAAGTGACATGCTGTTTTAAGGACTCCTCAGTTTAAAAGTTAAATACTTTAGTAGCAACCACATTGCTAGGTGATAAGTCTAATGGAATATGACACAGCAAAGCATTTGTCAGCATAGCTCGCAAATCATCAAGGAAAAGTATAACAAATTTCTGCCGCAGTTGCATATCTGGAAACTGACTCAAATAGGTTCTTAAAATACCAGTTATTAACAAAAAAAAAATTATCCCAATGCTAATTGGTGAAAAAAATACAGGCAAGTCAGCCTCACCTCCATCCCTGGAAAGGTGATGAAACAGCTCATTCTGGATGTCATCTCTAAGCATGTGGAGGAAAAGAAGGTTATCAGAAGTGATCAACATGGATTTTCCAAGGGGAAGTCATGCCTGACCAGTCCAAGAACCTTCTATGATGGAATGACTGGCTTCGTAGATGACAGGAGAGCAGCGTATGTTGTCTACCTTGACTTTGTCAAGGCTTTTGATACTGTCTCTCACAGCGTCCTCATAGATAAGCTTAGGAAGTGTGTGTTAGCTGAGTAGACAGAATGGCAGAGCTCTGAGTGTTGCAGTCAGCATTGAGGAGTCTAGTTGGAGGCCTGTGGCCAGGAGTGTTCTCCAGGGATCAGTACTGTGTCCAGTCTTGTTCAATATATTCATCAACGACCGGGATGAAGGGACAGAGTGTACCCTCAGAAACTTTGCTGATGATACAAAAGTGGGAGAAGTGGCTTATACATCAGAACGCTGTCCTGTCATTCAGCAAGACCTGGTCAGGCTGGAGAGCTGGCCAGAGAGGAACAGAATGAAGTTCAACAGAGGCAATTGGAGGGTCATGCACATAGGGAGGAATAACCCCTGCACCAGTATAAAATTGTGTGACCTGCTGGAAAGCAATTCTGCAAAGAAGGACAGGGGAGTCCTGGTGGACAAGAAGTTAACTATGAGCCAGCAATGTGCCCTTGTGGCCGAGGAGGCCGATGGTGTCCTGGAGTACGTTAAGAGGAGTGTGGCCAGTAGGTTGAGGGGTGTTAACCTCCCCCTCTACACTCTGCCCTAGTGAGGCCACATCTCGAGTACTGTGTCCAGTTCTGGGCTCCCCAGTTCAAGAAAGACAAGGAACTACTGGAGAGAGTCCAGCAGAGGGCTATGAATATGAGTAGGGGACTGGAGCATCTCTCTTATGAGGACAGGCCGAGAGACCTAAGACTGTTTAGCCTGGAGAAGAGAAAACTGAGAGAGCATCTTATGAATGCTTATAAATATCTAAAGGGCAGGTGTCAGGAGGATGGGGCCAGACTCTTCAGTGGTGCTCAGCAAAAAGACAAGAAGAAATGGATACAAACTAGAACACAGGAAATTCCATATGACCATGAACAAAAACTTTAGTTTGAGGGTGTCAGAGCACTGGAACAGGCTGCCCAGAGAGGCTGTGGGGGCTCCATCTTTAGAGGTATTCCAAACCTGCCCGGACACAATCCTGTGCAACCTGCTTTGGTAGGGACTAGATGAACTCCAGAAGTCCCTTCCAACCCCAATTCACTGGAAGGATGGTATTTCTTGTGATACAGAAATGGTAGATTTGGAGTTAGGTTTTGACTGTTTATACACAGACCACTAAAATTTAAGCTTTTATTTGCATAAAGTTTTCTTCAGAGTTACAATGGAATTTGTCATATAAGTTATTATTTAACACATCCTCTTACGGTGTCCCTGCATCAGAACTAGGTATTGCTTGACTATTTATAAATCCACTGTAAACCCAGTTCCTGAAATCCAGGTATTCAGATAAGTTTTTAGGTGTACATGTAAATGGACACTTCAAAAATGAATATTTATAAAGCAGATTTCACTTGTAACTGCTCAGACTTCAGCTAAAAAAAATCAGAGAACACTAATTTACAGGGTCTCACAATCTATTTTCTCACTGCATCCAATGTAAGTTTCCACCACCAATTTCCAGTTAGTTGATAAAAGCTGTTTGTTGTGGGTTTTTTATTATAATTAATCCAACAGATCTTTAAACATTTATCAAAAATTTCTGAGACATTGATAGCTTATGTTTTCTATAAACCTCTGTATGAAAGCATGCAAATCAATGGCATTATTTATAAGTATACTCATGTGTCTGTTGATTGTAGCTGACTGTTGCTTTAGGGCTAGAAGGATTGCTTGTATCAAAAAAAGAAGGCAACTACCACAGCAGTGTGGAGAGGTGAAATATGATGTTCTATATGCAGTTAAAAGCCAAAAAAAATTTAAGAACTGAAATATTCCTCCCAAAGATTTCTTCATTATTTTCTCTCCTTCTTGTCCTTATCGAAGAAGATCAATATATTTCAAGTACAGAGGAAGTATTATGACCACAGTAATCATGTTACAAGTAATGTGCTTTTTTTGTACACACACACACACACACACTGCAGAAATATGATCAAGGATACACATACTAGCTCTGCTCCTTAAGATTTTTAGCAACCATTCCTGTACAATATATGTTATATAAACCCAGCATTATCATGACATGGTCCTAGCACATACACACTTTTGGAGAACGATGCAAGGAGCTTTTAATTTTCTCAGCTTTCGTAAACCGCACACAAAAGCCTATGGTAATGAGAGACTTCAGCTGTATTTAAGTAGTCAAGAGCTCAGTTCCAGTTGTTGTCCCTGGAGGTGAAAAACCCTCCAGAGCAATACTGACACCTTCTCTAGATACAATAACACAAACATTCGCAGAAAGAACTCTGTGTCTGGAAAGCATTCCTAGCTGTAAACCTTTTCTTGGAGGAGTACATGACCACAGTAGCCGTACAGTACTAACAGCAATGCAACAGTAGCTCTGTAAACTGTGCAACTTAGTCCACAGGATCTGAGGAGTCATTGGCAGATGAGTTCTAATAGCATCTATGACAAATCAATGACTACATGCAGGTTTTGCTGCCTTTTCCCATTGATGGACTCATAACATCCCTGCATGGCTTCAGTTATTGAGGACCTGTAAAAAGAATGCCTGTGCAGTAGTTTCAGACTACAGTGAGAAAAGAAAAAGGAATAGCAAATGTCATAAGGTAATGACAGAGGCTGTTGTTTGGATGAGCCATGTTTCATCCCACCCTTTCCTTCTCTCTGTACACAAATACATTCAGAGGACCAGCCAAAATCCAAGTGAAACACCAGTAAGTCTATGTAATTAAACAGGAGTCCATTTATATAACTTTTATATTAAATGGCTGTTTTATGGGCTGTGTGATTGGAGACACAATAGAGCTCTTAAAGAATAAAACAAGTATTGACTATATGATCAGAGAACAATAATGCACAAAATAGCTGAGAGGGTACATATTGTAGAAAATCACTGTTTAAGGGGGAAAAAAGATTCTATGATACTATAATGATACACAGCTACAGAAACACAGTCTTTGAAATCCCTGCCTCTCAATTGCAGTAATTCAGGAACTGCACCCCAGTTAGTGCTGTGGCATATTCTGACATGCTAAGACACTATTAAAATACTTAAACATGTTTGAAGGCATGAGCAACTTCTTTCTCTGCACCTTAGGCTAAATACAGTTAAACAGCAATTGAACATATCTCAGGGAGCATTTAGTGCCACAAGGCTTGGACTGTTGTCATTCTGAATGTGGCGTTATCATGTACTGCAGAGATAGTACATGCCATCTCTAAAACAATTCTACTGAATAAAGTCAAACACAAATCTGCTGTTTGAGACATGGCAACTGCACTGAAGTAATGAATATATTAATTGCTTTTGAACTAGAATAGTTTCATGCATATCATCCCCAATTCTGAAATTCTTTTCAGTGCTGGAGAAAATACTTCAGAGTACAGAAACACTTACATGTACATTGATTGAATGATTAATACTGTGAGACGAGGTATGTCAGAAGGATATAAAGTAATTAATTCTGAACCTTATTATTATTTTTGACAAGGAAAAAGGAACATAGACTGAAAGTTATATTTTTCAATACTTGAAAAAATGTAACATTGTATTGGGTTTTCTGTGAGGGGTTTTTGGTTGTGTCTTTGGTAACAGGGGAAGTGCTATGGAGATGGCCCTTTAAGAAAAGGAAAGCCTTCCCTTTAAGGAAAGCAAATGGCATCTTGGCCTGTATTAAAAACAGTGTGACCAGCAGGTCCAAGGAGGTGATTATCCCCCTGTACTCGGCACTGGTGAGGCCGCACCTCGAGTACTGTGTTCAGTTCTGGGCCCCTCACTATAAGAAGGATGTTGAGATTCTGGAGCATGTTCAGAGAAGAGCCACAAGGATGGTGAGGGGTCTGGAGAACAAGCCTTATGAGGAGCGGCTGAGGGAACTAGGGTTGTTTAGCCTGGATAAGAGAAGGCTGAGTGGAGACCACATCACCACCTACAACTACCTAAAGGGAGGTTGTAGAGAGGTGGATGCTGGTCTCTTCTCCCAGGTGATGGAGGATAGAACAAGGGGAAATGGCACCAAGCTGTGCCAAGGAAGGTTCAGGTTAGAGATAAGGAGGAAGTTCTTTACTGAGAGGGTTGTCAGAAGCTGGAACAGGCTGCCCAGGGAGGTGGTGGAGTCACCATCCCTGGATGTATTTAAAGAGCGAGTAGACGAGGTACTTAGGGATATGGTTTAGGGGGTAGACAGGAGCGGTTGGACGTGATGATCTCAGAGGTCTTTTCCAACCGAGCGATTCTGTGATTCTGTGATTCTGTGAGAAGCTCCCTGAAAAGCTCCCCCTTTTCTTTTTTCAGACCCGCCTCTGACCAGGGCCAAGCCAATCAGCGCCCCTGCGAATTCATGTATTTAAGAGGGGTGCAGGGCATGCCTTGCTCTCTCACTGACACCGCCCCTGACCAATGCAGCGGCCCCAGATGCAGGTGGTGCGGCCCCGACCTTGCCCAGCTGGGCTTGGCCAGCCCTGAC